GAATTTCAGTGAAAAATAAGAGCTAAAAAAGCATGAAGACGATGAGAACGAATCTTAAAACTTTGCCAGAATACTACCCGTCAAAAAAACTACATCTGGGACAAATTTGATCAAAATTGGAGAAGGTCGATTTTGGGCGAATTTTAGTTACCAGGTACTCCCCACGTGGTGTTTTCGCACGTTTTCGACTAAAACACTTTTAAGGGCATCGGTTTTTATGACACTATAGTATTAAAGTGTCGGCCGATCCACAATTTCGAACTATTAGGGTTTGGTTTTTGGACCAGTGGAAAATTTTTGAGAAATTTCCAACAAAGTGAAAAAAAATTCGAAAAAGTGAAATTTTTTCTACTTCAGGGCTACTGTTGAAAATTGGTCCCAACACAAAAAATGATCATAATAGTACCAGGAACTGAAATCTGAAACTTTTCAGTCGATATCATTATTTAGAAAAAAAATTTTTTCGGGGTTACGTTAATTTTTCGCTCCCAGGAGAGGGCGTGGCCTATGGGTACCATGATCAAAAGTCTTAGAGACTCGATCTCAATTCTCTCAAAGAATGTGTCTTAAATTGCAGAACTCTGAAAGTAACATGTGAAAATGTTGTTCTCACCGGGATGTTTCAACTCAACATTTCGAAAACCTAATTCATTTAGTTGTTAGAAAAATTCTTCATTTGTTGAACAAAATTGAGGAATATCCCGTTACTCCAAATATCGCGATTTTTGAAAACTCAAAATACATACAGTACCTGTCATTAAGACATTTAAAAACGTTGTTTTCTGTCGATTTCCAAACAACTTGATCATTTTTAAGAGTATTGAGCTTGGCTGTCATGTGCCGGATCACTTTGAAAATCTAGGAGGTTGTAAAACAGAGCTAGATTAAAAACTTTGCATTTAACGATTTTTTTGAAAATTTCCAGTTTTCCGGCTTTGTCGATTTCTAAAAGACATCTGTGTTTTCAGTACAAAAAACAGCTAAAAAGAGGTATTTTTCGGAAATCGGCAAATAGCTGAAAAACCATTGATATTCAAAAAGTTTTGTGAATGCTGTTTTCAATCTAGGTCAGTTTTTGGATAGTTGATAGCAGAGCTCACGAGGCCTGAATATGTTAAAAAATCCCAAAAATCAACTGAAAAACATGGTTTGTATTCCTTATGGACCGCTACTGTACATAGTATTGAATCTTGCATTTCTGAAAATGTTAATTCATCCTGTAGAACGAATGGTGAAATTCGGTAATCTAGAATTTTGTTGCTGAAAAAATTAATTTTATAAAATTTTTGGATCGGTCAAATAACATATTATGATAATTTTTTAATTTTTAGAAACCATTGCCGAAAATCTTGACAAAAAATTCCATGCAATTACAGTCAGTTACTCTGTATTTTGAAAATCATTGACCTTCAATAAACAAAATTTGTTAAAAAAAAACAACTTTTAACATAATCTGTAATATAACACAACTTTTTTCGAAAATTGATCTACCAAAAAAATCGGGAAAAAAGTCTCAATTCTTGATCAAGACTTAAGTGCAATTACTGTCTTTTTTTGCAAAAAAAAAAAGGATTGTTCGATAAACAAAAAAACCAATTCAAAGTTTACCCAAAACGTTTTTGATCGTTCTCTGTGCTCCCGTACTTATTTTATCTCTTCCAAATATTTTCTCCATTTTTCAGCAATGCATTCGTGAACCCGACACCAAAATCCCAGTGATCCCGGCACATCGTCGCCGCCGTCACGAAGACAACTCAACTGATGTAGCTACACTTCGTCTTGAGACAGTGCTCGAGATCTCACCACAATCAACTCTCTCAGCTGCTGCCCTTGGTCAGTTCTAACTTATGACACCATGCGTCGTTCAGTGATTTTGCACGAGACACAGAAAACAGCTCGAGAGCGCCCTGCAAAGGTCCGAGCTGGTGTCTCATCGAACACATGATAGGTGCAAGCGGACCTTCTCACTGGTCGCAGAAAATAGACTCTGATAGATGAGACAAGAAAGATCAGAGCCAACTGTGTATTTTTTTAGTATCGTCCGAGGACTACGCCCGAACTGCAAGCTGTTACTCGCAGCCGGCGCTCATTGCTACCTGCACTTTCGTTTTCATCACCACTGCCCTTTTGGTCTTGATGGTTCACGTGGTTTATCGACGGTGCTCAAAGTCTAAGAAAGCGGGCAGTATAAATGACAGTGATAGTGTTGATACATCTAGCATTTCTTGAGATTTCTTGACCAGCTCGTTTTTTTCTTTTCTCTGATTTTCTCTTTTGATGATCTTCACTTTTTCTTGTATGTAAACCTTCTTTCTTTGATTCGAAGTACATGTTTTAATGGTCATCTCACGTTTTTTTTTTTCATTCCAAGTTTTTATCATTTTGTCAGATATCCTATCAGTAAAAGTATCAATTCCATTCACAAGCTTTAAAAAATATACTACAAACACTCTGATAAAATGCTCTCCAAACCGTAAACTTTGAGCTCAATTATCTTGATTCCTTCGAATGATATCAGAAATTTGTCAACTGATAAATTAATAATCATGATATCACCTATATTTCATCACTAAACAAATGTTTGATATCTGTTACAGGAATAAAGATAATTAAGCTCAAAGTTGACGGTTTGTGTGTGCTTCTACTTGAGGAAAAATGGTACACATCAAAAAAAAAATATCTGGAAAATTGCTCCCAAACGGTCCACTTTTAATCATTTTATCTCATTTCCTGCTAAAGATATCAAAAAGTAGTCAACTGTGAAAATGTTTATCATGATATAAAAAAACTAGTTTCTGTTGACCAATTTGGGATATCTTCCACAAGAACTGAGATAAAGCTGCGCAAAGTTTAAAAATAAAAATATTTACGGTATATCAAACAGTTAGGAAATGAAAAAGCTCCCGATTTTGATTTCCGACATTTTCAGATTGTGTTTTCATTCACTCACGAACTTCTTGTGAACATCTTGATCTTATTCTTTTTTTTTTCGAAAGTCATCTGACAAATACGCAAATAGTTTGGTCCATTCCTTATCCCATATATCTCAAAAACCTTCCTCATCTAGATCCCTTCACCGTCTGTTTTGAGGAATCGAAGAATATAAATGTTGTTTTGAAAAACAAACAAACAACTTCAGTTCTATTGACAATGAATCCTACCATCACCCCTCCAAGTCATCTATTCCGATTCCTGTTTCCGTAAAAAGAACCTCTTCACTACCAAATTTAGGAAGACACGGGAGACAGAGAACTATAGTGCTTTTTTAGACGGAAAGGTGAGATGTGCTTCTTCCCGAGGAGCCAGGCTCAGCTGTCTCTTACTTATCCTGCACTATCTCAATCAACATTGACCCTCGCCAAGTGTCTCGCGGCTGTTCGTGGCGCCGGCGGCTGGCCGCACGAGTCGAAACCAGCTGATCCATGAGGGGAGGGAAGGCAAAAGCTGAGGACTTTTCGTCTCGCTCACTTGTTCTCTAACCGTTCGCCCGGTTTCTTCTCACTCCGATCCTCTAATTCTCTTCTAGAGGAGTGTGAGTCGTTTGACCACCAATTTTCTCTAATGGTTCGGCCCCCTTCTTTAGTCGCATGATCAATTGAGCTCTGTCTCTTGGTTTAGTGTCAGTCACTCTTCATTTTCTTATTTTCGTTTTAACCGTTTCACAGATTGATGTCTTATAGTTTAGAACTCTCAGCAATCTCATATCTATTCCAGATATTATGATGGAAAGCCACGACGACTTCGAAAGTCAGAGCCAACTTCAGGTAGGGATACTGTAGATAGAGTCGAAACAATTGATAATGAGGTTGAGAAGTTGAGAAGGCACTACTGCTTTTAAGACACCTATTTTATTTTTAAACTTCCAAAACAACCGTACACAGTCGGATAGAATGCCCGAAAATGTCACTTTGAAACCCCTATATTTCGGTTCTTGTGAAAGATATGATGAAGTAGTAAACTAACAAAATGTTCAACATAATATTAACAATATTTTGTCAGTTGATCACTTTTTGATATGTCATACGAGAACCGAGATATATGGGCTCAAATTCGACAATTTGGGTGGTCATCTATTTTAAGTTTCATGGCCTAAATTTAGATTTCGCTTTTAGCCTGTCTAGTCTAAAATACTGTCATGTTAGAAATTTCAAAAATGTATGTATTGAACCCATTCGAAAGAACAACTTTGAATTTTGAACTTCACAACACACAGCTACTGAAACTTTATGACTCAACTCCAGATTTCAAAATACATAGATTTCCCACCAACCTTCCTTAACAACTGCCTTTTATTTTCAGAGAGCGCTCGCCGACAAAATCACAAACTATGCGCCGATCGAGGAAATCCGCTACGTCCTTATGCGTGGAGCACAGGTTTTTTGTTTTCCTTGTTTTTCTTCTCGATTTGTTTTTCTTTCTCTCTATCGCTTGCCTATCACACTAATCATTGGCGCCTCGGGAGCCCAAAATGTACTATTCTTGTTTTTTTCGTTCCTTCATTCCTCTCTCCTTCTACCAACTTGCCAACTGGCGTGGTCAATAAAAGAGCGGGATCAATTGAACAGAAAAAAAACCAGTTCTGTAGAAGTACAAAAAGGAAGGACAAATCGGGGGTGGGATGAGCTTTGTGACTGAAACTACGAATTAAAGGTTGATGGACAAGTCACCGCCGGGCTGACACCACTCCATTACGCCTGTTATATCAACTACCAGGCTGCAGCGAAACTTCTATTAAATCTTGGTGCAAAGGTGAGTGATAGTTATTGAACAACTACAAAATATAGACACAATATACAAAACCAGGCCACAATATACTTTGAAAAATTATTTCTCAGTTGATTATAGGCCATGTAAACCACTTTCACGAGTCTGAAACTTGGATGTCATGTTTCGGATCACTTTGATGATTTCGAAGAGTCCTAAACAGACCTATGTTGAAATTCTTGATTTTACACAAGTAGCAGAAAATTCCGAGTCTTACAGCTATCCACCGATTTCTGAAAAACACTGGTTTTGCCCGTTTTCAGCACAAAAACGGACCAAAAAGGGTGTATTTCAGAAAACGGAAAATAGCTAAAAAACTTGGAATTCTCCAAAAATTCTGTAAAGACAAAATGTATAATCTAGGTATCTTTTATGTCCACCGAAACATTTGAAATGATCGGAAATGTGACAGCCGACTTCCAGACTCCACACAACAGCAAAATCAACAAAAAAAGTACATTTTTGATTATCTTGTTGACCAGTACTGTACACCTAGAATTATTAAAAATGACTTGGAAATTTCCTAACCATCCACCCACCCTCCAACTTTATCAGTGACAAACAAAAAACCTGCAGTGTCAGAAGTCATATGGAGTGTTTTGAACACAGACTCCAAGTCATGAACAAGTCACGGACAAAACTAGTACTAGCAAGGGGGGTAATGGAAAATGAGTATAAAAGCAAAAAGTTGTAGGTTCAAGCTGTTGACAATATTGGCTGTTCTGCGCTCCATCTTTGTGCCGAACACGGACATTACAGAATGATCAAGCTGCTTTTACAGGTATTTTTGTTCTGAAAATGCAATGTTATCATTTATTTTCAGTACATGAAGGTCGTTGAACAGTACGAGACTCCCGAGTTTCGCGTTGGAGACAAATATCCACAACGAGAGAATGTTGACGAGCCACTCCGACTTGCAATCAAGGTAAGATAGCCCAACCCCCTTTTCCAGTACTATAGACATCAAACATTTCCAAAACGTGTCTACCTGTCAGTTCTGCTGAAACAAATCTAATTTTTGTTCCCAGAGTCATACGTTGAAAAATGATAACTTTGGTCAGTCTGTATCTCTTCTCGTTTCACAATCACTTGATAGTAGTAAGATAAGAACAAACGTTTGGAAAAATAACTGTCAAAAAATTCAATTTTTGCTGTCTATTCGAAATGTCGTTTTTTGAAATGATCCAGGTAATACATACAGTACCGGTCTACAAAAACGTATTTTTCAGTTGATTTTGATTGTTTGAAAAGTCTGGGCTAACAAGTCTTGAATCACTTTGAAAGCTTTGCAGGGTGTAAAATGGATCTAGATTAAAAACTTTTCATTCATAGTATTTTTCAAAAGTCATTAGTTTTTCAACTATTTGCCGATTTATAAAGGACAAATAATTTCACGTTTTCAGTACAAGAACAGGAAAATGGGTGTTTTTTAGAAAGCTTCAAATTCTGTGAATGCAAAGTTTTCAGTTTAGGTTTGTTTTGCAACTTCCAAAATTTTCAAAATGATTGGACACTTGACCAGCGAGCTCCAGACTATTGGAATAGACCAAAATGACCAAAAATCAACCGAAAAACACGTTTTTGCGTATCTTATTGACCGGGACTGTATATACTAGGCAAAGAGTGTTTATTTTTTTCACAATCTACAGTAATCTCAATAACTCTATATTTCTAGAATGGCCACTATGACTGCGCCCGTCTACTCCTTACAAATGGAGCTAACGCAAATGCCATCTATTTCGACGGGCCTGAAATCACTCAAGTGAGCCCATTGGACACCAACTTCTTGGAGCTTCTCCTCGAATTTGGAGCCGATCCAAATGTGTTCGACCGTAAGGGTCTCACTCCGATCATGAAAGCGTGTCGTATGAAGGACAAAGGTATTGAGGCTATCCGTATCTTGTTGAAGTACGGAGCTGACATCAACAAGTTGTCTCCAGAACGACAGGATCACAGAAGTGCCCTCCATTTTGCACTTCTTTCTGGAAATCATGACTTGGTGAAGTTCCTTATTGCGAATGGATGTAATGTGAATATGGATGAAAAGTACGAGAAACCATCTCCAATTGATATTGCTGTTTTGAAAGATGACCCTATTCTTCTCAAGATTTGTCTTGATGCCGGAGCCAATCCAAATGCCGTTCACACTTATATCGGATCTTGCCTTCACCTGGCTTCCTGCTCTAGTGAGTTTAATCAAACAAATTTAACAATGAATTATGATTTCCAGCACTTCTCAACCAATACAAAATCATCGAGCTTCTCTTGGAACATGGAGCCGATATGAATCTCCAGCACCAATTCCCAGATGGCTCCCGCTTGAAAAGCCCATTTGTTGAGTACTTCCGTTCCAATGACAGCATCGATGCCAAAGTTGTGAAGCTTTTCATCACTCATGGAGCCAAGGTTGTCATGAGAAACCCCCTCCATGACTGCCGTGGACAACTCCGCAATGTTCTAAAATTGGCTGCTCTCCAGAATCAACCAGAAGTTTTGGAACTTCTTCTGGGACTTGGTGAGCAGTACGACAACAAAGCAATTGAGAGGCTTCCGTTGCCTTCTGAGTTGAAGACACATATTAGTGAGAGAGCCAAGTGAGTGAACCCCTTCAATGAAAAACATGAATTATATTTTTTAGAAATCCACACAGTCTTCAACACTTGTGCCGTATTCAAATCCGTGACACCGTTCAAACGTCAGAGTACAAAACCCTCCCAATTCCAGAGTTTCTAAAAGCCTACCTCTTGGGATTGATCCCATAGTATTGACTCAAAAAAATGCCCTTATATGTATGTGTATATACTTCTCTGTACATTTGTGTAGTATAATAACTGTTATCTGTTTTTTCTTCGATCCATCCAATCTGTTGAAGTGTACAAAAACCCATCCCCAATTCATGTTTTGACCCTATCTTGTTGACCCTATCAAATTTTTTGCATGTACATCTTGCGAAAATGTTCATTTCACTGTTAGCTACAAATTGCCCCACTTTTCTGTCACATCACTTTAGAACAAACGGATAACGACATCTCACGCTGATTTCAACAACTGTTTTTCATTCGCTAATATTATTACTGTCATACGTATCATTTATTTGGAAATTTCGATATGCATCTTATTTGTCTGTACATTCTTCTGAACATTTTATATTTATTTGGCTGAAAAAAACTTCACTCATATTTGGAAAAAATTGAAAATAAATCTTTCGAGACTAAACAATTGGCTGTTGAAATTTAGAAAAAATCACGTACAGACATTAGAGAATTGCGAAATACTAGTTTTTGTTAAGAGTCAGCTACTGGGGCACGGATCTTTATCCACTTGAAGAACCGAAAGCACGACCACGTCATATGTTGTGCTCCGTTAGTAAGAACATCACTGATTTTAAGGTAAACAAATGACTAGTGATGAGTGATTTTTTCTACTTTTCGTGTTGTTTTGGATGATTTTTAATTTCCGAATCCCCTTTTCAGCAGCCGGTCTCTAAAAATATATGGATTTATTGAACAAATTTTTTTCAGTTTAATAGCAAAGTTGGGAAAAAATCGAAAAGAAGATTTAGAAAGAGGAAGAAAGAGACAGAAATTGTGCAGAACAGCTGTTAAGTGTAAAAAGAGTTTACAAAAGGGATAAAAGTGGTGAAGACAGAACGAACATCATAGAAAAGAATGTAAGTGCAAGTTGGATCGAACTAAAAAGATGAAATCACGTAGGTAAGAGAGAAATGTAGAGTGTAGACGGGTGAAAAGATCAAATTAGTACGAAAAATGGGACATGTCTAAGGCTAAAGGGACAGGGCAAACTAGGAATCGAGTTAAGATAGAGAAATTATGCAAAAGTGTAAAACTTGAGAGTGATTTGAAGAATATAAATTGAACTGTAAGCTAGAGAAAATTGAGAAAATTTTTTTGAACCGAAAACTTGGTAAAATTGACTAGAGCGTTTTCCCTTCATATAACAGAAAGACCCCTACACTTTAAAGTTGGAACTAATTTTTCTCAGCTCTATGTGAGATGTTCAAATTGTGTCAACTAATAAAATGTTTGTGATGTTATTATAAACATTTCATCAGTAGTTAACTTTTTGATATCTCTGACAGGAACCGAGATAAACTCGCTCAAAGGTAAACAATTAGGAGCACATTTGTTACAGGGTGTATGGTAATTAAATGTTTCAAAACTCTCTTGTTTTTATATCAACTCTTAAGGTTATTAGTTTCACAAAATTCGATCTCAAGTTTCTCTAACAAACCCAATTCAAACTTGTCTAAACTACTCTCTAATTGTTAAACACTATTTTTTTTCTAGAAAACAACAACGAATTTGGTTAAGGGCAAAATACGTTTCGCATTCGAGAGTTGCAAACCATGAATGGATACATTTCAACCATTTGCTGGTAGGTTCTTGCAGTTCTTGCTCTGATGAGATATCGCGCGAAGTATCTTTTGCTGATTTCAAGAGCGAAATGCGGAATTTCACGAGCAATCTTGCAAGGGTCGAAATCTGAAATGATTTTATTTGGTTCTTTATACATATTACTTTGTTGTAATTTCAATGTATGTTCGTAATTGTTTGTTGGCTCATTTTTTTCAAATTTTGCATGAATTTTATTGATTTTGATCTATTTCGTTTCACATAAATCGAACGATTCGCTAATTGTAGGAAAATCATTTAAATTCAACGAAATTTCAAAAAAAAATAGGCAAACGTGCATTGAAAATAAACCAAAGTAGTATTTTATGGGAAAAAAAATAGAAAAATCTCACTTTTGAATTGTCTAACAAGTGTCCATCCGATGCTGTCCAAATGTACATCTTCCACGTGTTCAACCAGGTAATTGTAACCATACTGGAAAATTATTAGAAGTAATTTTATAGTCATTGTTTGTATGAAGTAAGCTTCAAAATTGTTGAAAAACCGAAGCGATTTTTGTATTTCTATCCTAAGCAAAAGTTTTCTAAGAAATTAGTTTAAAAATCATATCACGACTAACCTCAGCAGCAGCCTTGTAAACCACATCATGGAAGATGTTGCGTATTTTGATTTTCTCCGTTTCGAGAGCTAGGATTTTTCTCTGAACCTGTCTGCTTCTGAAAACTGAGGCCAGGTCTACGGTCTTCATTGTGAATTTTCGCTCTAAGTAGGTCTGGATCATTGGTCTGTTGCAGCCCACGTATGCAATCAACGGCCGATGGACGTTCGATTCCAACAGTCCCTTGTACTGAAATGTCTATTGGGAGAGATATGCTATCATTACAGCAGTTACCGTGATGTACAGATAATATTTGCTACATCTGCGAAGCGTGTCGCCTCCTTCCAGGACCAAGTGATCGGTAACTCGTGCCATCAAATCAGGAATCAGAAACGACAGTTGGCTTGATTCTACACACTCGGTACAAAAGCAAGACTCGGCTGGATATGGTGTGCATCTCAGTTTTTTCTTGACCTGACGAAGTATTTGGCACCTTTCGCAGTTGTGCTCCAGTGGAAGTGGTGGCCCCTCAATTTTGTTGAAGTTGATTTGGCTGTAGTCGATCTGAATAAAACGATTATCAGTTTCCAAATACAATCATTGTCAAAGATTCAGAGCTTAATTTTTTAAGGATTTTAGCGAACCGATGGCATACCTAATTAAACATCCTTATTCAATCTATACCCAGAATGTCAGAACCCATCATTCCCTTCATTTTTTAATATTTTTCACTACAAAAAATAGCGAGTAGTGATTTTGCAAAGCAAATTTTGAAAATGTATGATCTGGCCGCAAACGGCACGCAAAACAACCAGCAGATAGTTGACACGCAGATCCATAAATAGGGAAATTTTTCCCGATACCAATGTAGCTGAAACAGACGTATGGAGCATACGTAACAGAAAAATGATCAAAGAAACTACAGGAGAAAATTGTTAAGATGAGCTCCAATTCCTTACGAAGAAGTACTTGTGGTACAACATTGTCTAATCACAATAGCCTTCAATTTTGGACCTGTGGTCTCACTCATACAAAATAATTCAAGATTTCCACTCATAAACAACTATAAAATGTCAGTTATTATGTTGGAAATGAAAATTCCTACAAAACGGGAATTAGGTGGTATATTTGAAGGAGGGGAGGCAGGTAGAATATACATATCTTGATATTTCGTCAGGGATGTTCGGAACATAATTCGGGATTCCGAGATTCCGGCTATTTTTGACAATAAATACCGATCAGAACATTTCTGAATTTTTTTCCCGAATTAGAGCTTTTCAGAGGACGGTATGTCAAAGGAGCACGAGAAAAATTTTCTTGCGGCTCTCGAGCGGTAATAATTTTAGGTTTTGTGTTTTACCGAAATTAGTTTGGCAACTTTCACACATATTTTGTTTTCTTGTATTGCAAAAAGTGGGATCCCGAAATTCTGAAATTTTCAAAATCGGATTTTTCTTAAACTCCGAAAATCCAAAATTCAAAAACTAAGAATTTTCAAAATTCCGATTTTTGTAAAGTTCCAAAAATGACATTCCGAACATCATGAAATTTCGTTCATATACCGTAAAACCTCTAATAGAACGACACCCGGAACGTCCACTTTGAGCCTATATATCTCACTTCTTTTGAAAGGTATCAAAAAGTGGTTAACTAGTAAAATGTTTATCAGGATATCAGCAACATTTTACTAGTTAGCCACTTTTTGATATCTTTTGCAGAAAATGAGATATATAGGCTCAAAGTGGACGATCCGGGTGTCGTTCTATTAGAGGTTTTACGGTAAGCCCCACTAGAAGTTGAACTTGTGGGCACAGACATTTTTCCCATTCCGATCGCTGACAGTGGGAATTTTTATGATTCCTTCCCCGGCTTCTTATACGAGCGCTCCAGTCACCCTACATCCGCCATGTAGCAATTATCTCGCACCTGCCGCCCATGCTTATATCCCACGCGTTGAACATTTACGACTTTCAACCTTACTCAATTGAATGAATGTTGCAAATTAAAGCAACTTCTCAATTTGAATTTAGTGATATTTCTTCCATCAATTAGCTGGTGGCACCCTAACTCACAATTTCATGCGGCTTTCTCGCAGCCTTTTGGCGTCTTCGACGCCTTGGCTCAACAGGCACTGGCTCCCAGACTCCAATCTCGAAGCTCGTGTCCACGAACTCTGGCGTTGGGCATGGTCGCGTATCGTCGTCCTGCTCTTCCTCCAGATGCTCGTTGATACGAAGAACATGTTCCGGAAACATCTTCCAAACTTGAGCAGAAGAACTGAAACAAAGACTTTTGGAAAGATTTCTTGAAATATGTAACTTGAGCTTATGAGGGGAAGCAATGAAACAGTATTTAAGCTAAATTTTTAGGACAAGAAACAAAAAAATAAAGAATACGCAGAGGAAATTATTTTCCTGTGTTGTTTTCAATTTTCCCATATTTCTTAACACATAGCAATTGAGAGGGAAAGAGAAACTTTTCCTCCACTTTTCCGTTTCCATGGGAAACCTCCAAAGACGATGATGATTATTTCATTAAGTTCCAATCAACGCCTTGGATTTCGGCAAAAAAACTATACTAAAAAATTGTGAATGATAACTTGTCGAGTTGGCTGTTTGAGGTTGGTATGGTTACGATTGTTATTGACTGAAAAATTTGCTCCTTGTGGATCCCTCGAGTCTAAATGAAGGGGTGGCTAGCTACCGCCGAAAAATAATGCATAAGAGGCAAGTGGATAGACTGACAGGAAAGGAAAAAAATGGGATGGTTCGCAAGATGGCGAGTGAGAAATGAGAAGTAGGCGGTGGCAGCGGCGGGATACGAATCTGTCATATTAGTGGGCTCACAGGAGACGAGAGGTGATTCTTTCTCAAGAAATAAAAAAACTTTGAGTGCTGCCCTCTTCGGACAAGCACGGGTGTGAATCAACTTGAAAGCTTTCCTGAACTACCATCTGTTTTGGGTCATGAAAAATTTTACACTTGTCAAGCCAAGTACAAGTAAATGATAATAGGAATGAGGGCAGAAGGAGGCGTTCGTCCATTTTGAGTGCTTCTACTGAGATAACATCGACGGAGAAAAATGAGTAGGGAAGGAAAAAAATGAAGAAGGCGTTCATATGATGATGCCTTTCTTCTTTGTCGTTTTTCTTTGAATAACTGAGCACAAAACCGGTACATTGCAAGAAAAAAAGAGGTTCAAAGGGAAGGAAGGGTCTCGTGACAAAAATTACAGGGTGAATTTCGAGAAAATTCACTTTTACCTGGCGAGTGAAAAAAGGTGTGGCTGTAAAGTGCAGTTTTTCTAAATTGAGAGATTAATAACGAGACAATGAGAACTAAAAAGTGACTTTTTAGTGAGATTTTGGAAGGTGTGACCTTTCCATTTCCTTTTTTCAGACAATTCCCATGATATGAAAAGGAAATATACTTCCATGCACTCAGTTGATCACCATTTTGAACTCTTCAGAGGCCACAAAAAAAAAGAAAATTGAAGGTATATCGTTCTTTTTTGGAAAATCATCAGGGATGTTCGTAACGGAGAGCGGAACTTCAAAAATTTCGAAAATTCCGAGAAAAAACTCGGAACGAAGTTCCGGTCGGACTTTTCCGAAGCTTTTTTCGGAGTTAGAGATTTTTGGACTACGGTATGTCAAGAGGCGCAAAAATTTTGCTTGCGGGTTTCAAACGGAATTATTTTTAATGTTTCTTTGGGCTGAAATCCTAATGTCAATTTTCACCAGTTTGTGGAATTTTTGTGATTTTAAAAAAATCCGAAAATTCACAATCGAAATATTCCAGATTTCCGGACATTCGAGATTTTGAAAATCGGAATATTCCGAGATTCCGACATTTTAAAATTTTGAAAATCGGAATTTTTGCCATATTAAAAATTTACGAGAAGGTCATTCCAAACATCCTTGAAAATACCGAAAATACTCTAATAGAACGCCACCCGAATCGGCAAATTTGAGCCCATGTATCTCATTTTTTGTGAAATTCATTTTTCTTTTGGAAACTCAGTTGATTTTTGAAAGGAAAATGTTCACGATCATAACCTCAGGTTGAAACTTAAATGTACTAGTTTGAAAATGTAGCAAACGGCGATCCGAATTTTTATCAATCAAATTTTTTGCTAACTTGACTGGACAACTCCGCGTGCCAGTTACCAAAAGAGTCCTAATAGTGTATGTAATCTTCTGAAAGACGGCATGCTTCTGGAGCTAATTTGCCGTCTCACTTGAGTATTCTGTGGATGACATGGATTAGACACCAGCAAAAAAAACGGGGGTACCGCGAACGACGAATGATGGATTGAAAAAATGGAATCGTGACAAGTCAATCGGTTTTGGTAGCTTAAGAAAATAGGGAATGGTGAAGAAGAATAGAATATTAAGTGGCACCTGACGACTCTGCGGTGTATCGCCTCTTCTCATTAGGACGAAATATGGTTGTGTGTCAGAAAAAGAGCCGGGAAAAGAGAGTTTGGAGGCGAGAAGAGTTGAAATGCGATCCATTTTGCTGGGATTACGCGGAAATTATAGGTTTGTAGGGTGCAATCTCATGAATCTGAATCGACTTTTGGGACTACCTCACGTGGGAAGTATATTCTCATTAGTCTCGGAAAGAAAGAGCTTGGTGAAAGAGCCCAATAGTTCAATACCGGAAGAAAACTTCTAGAAGGGAGAGAAAGAAAGGCTGAAATTATAGTGTGGGTGAATGAGAGAACTTGAAAAACAAAAAACTCCACCTTTTTCTCTTCCCATTCTGAGATATAAGAGGTCATAAAAAGCACACACGGACAGGGGCACCATTAAAAAGGCAGAAGAACGGATTATAAATAGAAAAGGCTTTTTTTGAGCAGCAATTAAAACGAACTTAGGGAGATTGTATTCTCCAAGTTTATGGACCAACAAAGAAAAAGGAAAAGTTAATCGAACTAGAAACCACTTTGAAATGAAATAAGAAGATTCCAAACAGCGCACAAAAGTGCTTTGAAGATTTTCTGTTTGTGAACTCTTTTCGGTGTCTGGCACCTTCGTACAGCTGCTACAATACCGCGGCTATATCTTTTTGAAGTTTGAATACGTATTTCACATCTGTGTCTACATTTTGAAATTATAAAATGGCGTGTTTCTAGAATTGTCATTTAGAGTAAGTTCTGGGATGATCAGGATGGCCTTTTTTGATTTTTCGGAATATCGAAAGTTCCGAATTTTCAAATATTCGGAATTTCGGGATATTGCAATTTAGGGAATTTCGGTGTTTCACTTATATGATAAGTTCCGACTTAGAAAAAATAAGAAATATGGAAAATTCAAATTTTTGAAAAACATCATGAGAGAGGAAGAGAGAATAGGTTCGTAAATGTTATGTTGCAACAGAACATATATCATTTGTAAATCAGTAATATCGGCTGTGGATGAGTCATAGAAAAAAAACAGACCAAAAGAAAAAAATATCGAAAATTGGAAAACAATTTCAGATTTCGAAATATAAAAAAACATGATTCCACTCGATGCCTGCCAAAAAAATGTTTGCGTGCGCTTTTAATATACCGTAGTCCAAAAAGCTCCAATTCAGGAAATAATTTGGTAACCTTCAAGTCGGGATCTCGGAATTTTCGGAATTTGGAAATTCGTTCCGAACATTCCTGAGAAAGTGGGACAGCATATAAAATTGGGAAGAATTCATGAAAATAAAACCTAATCGCATTTTTGTAGTCCGCCTCGTAACTTATATTAATCAATTGAAAAATCAATTGAATTTATTCCTTTGTTTCCTACCACCTTCAACCGAATCAACCATAAAGTGCAAGCTAAACAAAAACTAGCCAGTCGAACCAAAAAAAAAAGTGCACCACGACATCGGCACCAGAATGGAGAAGAGACGGGATAAAATGCTGGATAGGATGAAGAAGCAGAAAAGGAAGAAAAGAAAGAAAAAGAAAGAAAAAGTGTTCGCGTCGTTCGACTGCTTTTTGGATAGCAGTGCACAGCATATAAATTGGCTTTGAGCCCTTTTCTTTTTGGCCCCTTCATTTTTTTGGGCAGTGGAAGTGCTTCGAGTGCGGAAGATGAGGACGGAAAGGAGAAGAAGATGAATAGGAAGGTTTCAAAATACTCGCAGTGTCGGTTTTTATCTACAAAAATCTGGAAGAAAAACGAGGGAGCCGCGAGTTGAGGGATTAGGCAGGTTGGAAAATGTTTCGAGATTTTGAGAAGAAATAAGAGGTTTGTAACATTTTAATGTTGCAACAGAACATATATCAGCAGTGGATGAGTCATAAAAACAGAGAAAAATACTTGTAGAAGAAATAAAAATTGAAAAAAAACGTTTAACCGTATTGATAATAGTAAATGGAACGGGATTACTGTAAATATCTTCGTGGCATGAAAATTGGAGCAGTATAGCAAGGTTTACTAGGAAGCGTTAAAGACAAGCCTTAACAACCAAGGTTATCCTTTTTGAGCATAATGGTTCATTTAACACTCTGATAGAAGCTCACCCAAACCGTCAACTTTCAGCTCAATTATCTCGGTTTCTATGAAAGATATCAAAAATCTAACAACAGATAAAACATGGCTGATGTTATGATAAACAATATATCAGTTGACAAAAGTTGGATACTTTTTACAGGAACAGAGATGAAATTATCTCATAGTTGATGAAATGGGCGAGCTTCTTTTTATAGTGTTTTATTTCAATTGTTTTGATTAAGATTAGATTACAAATTTTCAGCAGAAAAATTAACTTACAGTTCCTCTAATATTCCTGGCGTAGTTGAAACTTGGAAACCACAATGTTTCATAACTGTCCACATTTTGAAAACTCCAATTTTCAAATATTCGATATTATGCCGCGTTCAAAGTTGATTTCCAGGAGAAATCCTGAAAGGCTTTAAAACATTTTTCCAGTTTCATCTTCTTTGAAAATGTCGAGATTCAAAACTGAAAGTGTTAATTATCTCGAGGTTATTTCTTCGTTGATTATTTGCTAAATTTTCAGAAACAAAAACTTTTGAGACAGTTAAATTAAATTCTTGTTCTCATCATTCTTATAATGAATAAATACAGTCGCGTCTTTTTATTTGCCAGTTTCCCAGTCCGCACATATTGAAAAGCTTGACAGTGAAACATAATCTCACTTGACCTTTTAAAAAAGAACGAGGAGCGAAGCGATGACC